CTTGTGCCCTTGTGCCCTTGTGCCCTTGTGCCCTTGTGCCCTTGCGCCCTTGTGCCCTTGTGCCCTGTGCCCTTGTGCCCTTGTGCCCTTGTGCCCTTGTGCCCTTGTGCCCTTGTGCCCTTGTGCCCTTGTGTCCTTGTGCCCTTGTGCCCTTGTGCCCTGGTGCCCTGGTGCCCTGTGCCCTTGTGTCCTTGTGTCCTTGGTGCCCTGGTGCCCTTGTGCCCTTGTGCCCTGGTGCCCTTGTGCCCTTTTTGTGCCCTTTCCGTGCCCTTGCCGTGCCCTTGTGCCCTTGTGCCCTTGTGCCCTTGTGCCCGGGATCACTGTGGGACCTATCTCTGAAACTCCTTCGGCGCAACATGAGCTAAGATCGACACCTTCTCGTCCGCAGAAAAGGCGGTCTTGTAAGTGCGCTCGAACTCACGAAGCTCAGCTTCCCACTGGTGCAAAGGGCTGCTCCACTGGGAGATCTCACTCGGAAACGTGGGATTCGCTAAGTGCCTTCGCCAAACCCACGCCTTAGTCCGGTGAGCAGGCTCGCTCAAAAAACCAACCTTCTCCAAACCTCAAAACCATTCGCATCCCGAAGCCCCTGCCCAATCACGTTCATCGTGGGCCAGGGCAGTACTGAATGAGAAAGGTGTACATGGCCTTGGCCAATCTGCTTTCCTCAGACGTGAAAGTGGACTCATCCACTGGGTCCTTGCTCTTGCCGTGCTTCTCCAGCAACTCAGGGTACCGCTCATGCACTGTGCTAGACCATGCTATGAACACATGCTTAAACTTTTCCCATTCATCTTTCTTCCCGTTGAAGGTGTGAGGTTTTGGGACATGACTTGGGTGTATCAGCTCTTTCTCTCTTCTTCCTGTGCTGCTTGTAGCTGTTGTTGCTGCTGCTGCCGCTGTGGCTGCTTGCTGTGACTGTATTACTGCTTCAGCTGCCAACAGCCTAGCTTCGGCCTCTGCTGCCCTGTTTTGTTGCTGCTCGTAAGCAACGTTGGCCCTTTGCAGGCCTTCAGTCAGCTCCTGTACACGCGCAGCAAGCCCTTCAAGGGTCGCCATCGCGAGAGCTAAAAAAAGAAACAGAAGCCGCCAGGGGCGTACACGCCGAGATCGGCAACAACCTAAGCTACTGCAAAACACTCGGCGGTGTCACCCGCACTTAACGGTGCCAACCCGTTCCTCCAGGGTGGTGCCAGCCTGCTCCATGCTGCTGTTGCCACCCTCCTCCGCCTTGGGCTCTGTACACTCTGCCAAAGCCTGTTGGCCTCTGCTCCTTGCTGCGAGGCTTGCCACCAGCTTCACTGCTGCTGGCCTTGCTGTCCAGTCCTGCCACTCTCCAGGCGGGCGGCTCGGCTCACCAGCGCTGCTGCTCGAAGCAGCTTCGCCTCGCCTCCTCCAGCCAACTGAAGAGGCTCGGCTCTCAAACGCAACAGAGCTGACGTCCGCAGTCCCGGCTCTGGCCTTGGCCCTCGGAGCCGTTGGCACTGGCTGCTGCCCTCCCGCGCTCTCTGGCGCGCGTGTCTTTGCGGAAACTTGCTGCTACCCCGTTCGGGTCGGCGGGGTCGTCGCTTCCCTCGGACTCCTCGCTTAGCCAGTCTGAGGTGTCTCCTCTTTCACCTCTTCTCCAGGCTCCTCCTTAGGCTTCTCCTCTTCTTTCTCTTCTTCGCTACTGGAAGTGAAAACTGTCGTCGGCCCGTGCGCTCCTCCGGGACCCACACGTCTTGTTCGAGCCACTCTCCGTAACCGAGGTGACGGCCTTCTTGCGGTCGACTTTGCAGTCGCAGAGCGTCTTCGACTGTTACGTCCTCGACCTCTGGCGCTTCCTGCGCTGCTCTGCCTGCTGCTGCCTCTTCTTCGCCTCGGGAGAGCGCCCGTTCAGCGCGTCGAGCGAAGCCGAGGATTCGCTTCTCGATCGCCTGTTGGCTTCTCACGCGTCGGCCCGGAGGCCCCTCTGAAGCCGGTCCTCAGTCGGCTTGTCTTGTTTAACGAGGGCTTAAGGACAAGCCTCCCTGGGTCCTTTGGGCTGGCCTCCTCTGCCTAGCCCGCGGTGTCACCCGCTGCTACTCACGCAGCCCGCGGTGGAAAGCCCGCTTTGCACGAGCTCGGTGCCTCTCCTCTAGGCAACCGGAGCTCCGCTACCATGCAAAACGAGCGGAGCCTGCCTTTTGTCCTGCTATCGCTTGATCACACAGGGCTCCAGCATGTACTTACTATACAACTGTACAAGGTACACACTTCTCTCAGAGACTACAGGTTAAGCAAGACCAGAGGTGCGTCTTGATAGCCTGCGGCATTGGACACCTTGTTGGCGGCTTGAAGGAAAATGTCGCACGCCATTTCGGGTCCATGTCCAGACTATGCTCGCAACCCAGTTTAACGGGTGGCTTGCAGTGATATTTTGTCTTGTCCACGCGAGTCAACATCCGGATGTGCATGGCAACATACAGCGGACCATGCCTCGTGCAACGGTGAGCTTTGTCAGCTCCGAACTTCGCCGATAGAACGCATTCCACCGACAAGCGCTGGCCTGCAGGATTGGGTGGAGGGGGTATGTTTAAACAGTTGAAACCAAGTCGTGTCTGCCAAACGGAAGCTCGTGTGGGCGAGATGCTCGATGGATGACCTTCGGGTCGACTCCCTCAGTCAGTTTAGGTCCTTTCAGGTGGGATGCCCCGAAGTGGCATCACTATCTTCATCTAGTGGAAGTCACTAATTTTTTTCTGGACGCCTGTGGGTCAAACATCCACAACTCGGCCCTGACGTACTTCCCGAACGCGCATATGCGACTTCCTAAAGCCCTAATCCCTACGCCCTGATGCAGATCCGCATTAGGGTGCATTAGTCTGCCTCGTTTACGGCTATGCTTGTCTCAGGAGCTGCAATTCGACTAGGCAGTCCAGGCTCTGGGACTCTAGGGTTTGGCGATCTATTCTGGAGGCTACTTCACGAACAGTTATAGGCTGGGGGCCAATTGAGCTGAGCTGAGTGATACTGCATCGTGGCAACACTCTCACAGTGAACTTCTCAGGAGCGCAGCTTCCACGGCTTCCTTGACTTCAGCGCATGCAACTCTGACAATCTGGCAAAGGCGAACTGTCATGATTGGGTCGAGTTGAGTACGGGCGCACCTTGTTGCACAGCAACCGTGAACAGCCCTGTGATGACATGCGACCCACATTATTCATTCGAAGGTTCTGTTCAACGACCACCGATTCTATTGCGCCCAGCGGCTAGCTCCCGGTCGGGGATGGCGCCCAGCGAGTAGTCGCAACTCGAGCCCTGTGAGTGGTCACTCAAACTGTCAGCGGTTTCCATGGCAGACTATGGACCGTGTCCTGCAACTTCCGAAATCACAAAACTTATGTGCAGGCTCGAGCCGACAGAACTGTCTGGATCCTGTCAAGGCCGAAGCATGCGAAGCCATCTCCCCGAAGCCCAGAGCGCCGTCCAACAAGACCGAGCGACTTGAAGCGATTGCAGCAGCGACGCGAAGTCTGTGCACACCTGGTCGCAGAACAGGCAGGTGTCAGAGCCGTAGTGCATGAAGCTTCGTCAGCCCTGCAGCCCGGTACGACTCACTTCTTTCGCACCTCACCGCTGCCTTCGGGCTCTGCCACCAAGTCAAAGGAACGATCCCGATAGTCACCTTTGTACCAAGCATGGCATCAAGGCTTGGACACGGGCGACACGGGCTACATTTTCAGCTCGATTGCATGCTTGGCTCTCTGCTGCTTCCACGGCGATTGGCTAAAACACTTCTCTCCCAACAAAGCCCGAATCTCTGCATGATAAGACTGAGGATCTGTTCACAACATCTCAAGTCTCCAGCTACGAAACCAGACGCGAGAGAACACTCCGTCTAAGCGGCTTTGCAGCAGGCTTTGCAGAAGCACCTGGAACCATCAGGCTGAAGAACCATGAGGAAAACGGAACCACTGAAGGGCCCGCGACCGCACATGACCGCACTGGGCACTTCCACACAGGAGCCCGGAACATTGGAACACGTGTTGCCAAGTCTGGAATTTGCTTAGCTGCTAAGCTTCTAACTCAGCCAATATCCTGTGACGTTTGCACAGACGTCGCGCAAAATGCAGTTCTGCGGCCTTTCGGTGCTGACCTTCGGCCCAAAGTGCATGAGGTCTTAACTAAAAGTCTTAATGGCTAGCGGCCACCTAGGGTGATGCACGGCACGGCGCTTCTGCCACATCTTCGCGGGGAATGGAGCGCGACTCTGTAGGCAGCTTGTCGTCCACGCCGACCACCTCAAGTTCAGAACGGAATGCCAAGTGCTGGCGGTTCTCTCCCTGACCATCTCTTTAATCACTTCTGTGTCGGGTCTCGGGCCGTGCACTACAACGAAATTGGGGTCCCTTGTTATACCAACGTCTGACAGTGCGGGTGACGCGCTTGCATCCAACTCGCAAGGAACCCACTCTTCGATCTTACCTCAACAAGATTCAACAACCAGAATGCTGCAATGCGGCCAAAGCCCTCTTCCCTCCTGGCTCATTCAACAGACCTGGCACACAAGCGTGGACACAGCTACTACCTCCAGGGTACCAGGCTTCTGCCTGATCTAGGCTTGCATCTCGGAGCCCTCACAGAGAGAGGGAGAGAGAGAGAGATTTCTGCAAGGGCAGAAGTCCGAGGCCCCTTCTACGTTGAGCGAAGCAGCCTCCAGGATGGACTATGGTGTACGTCAACCCAGAGTCGATCAAGTACTTCTCCGCTTTCCTGGGAGGTCGGGCCCTGCTCCGAATACTTCGGCGTCTTTCTGCAAGTTGCACAACGCCCCGACGGCTGCAAACAACTGATTGGGGTTCAGTCATCGCGTGAAAGCAAAACTTACGTCAGCGCGACAATCGACGACCGCTTAACAAGGGCTAGACTCCGCTTCCAGAGCAGAATGCCGCCGCCACGGCCATCGGTCGTCCGGCCAAAGCGATTCAGCATGTGGTCCTCTAGAACCGAGTCAGGGACTGACATCCATCAGCTCTTGAACTCGCTCTGGCCCAGCCCATCTTAGAAACATGTAAAGCAGACAACGAAATCGAGCCAAGGCTCCGGGTTTGTTCCACCCATGGAGCTGCAAATGGTCACGTGGCCAACCCCAGCCAAGTGGGCCGCATCGATCTGCGCTTTCCTTCTGTCAAGCAAGGCGGAGCCGGAACTGTGCCCGAGAGTCAGGTGTCTGCGTGTGATAGACTTCTGAGTGCTTGAATGAGGATTTCCTTTCGGATGCTGGCTAACGAAGGCAGATTTTACTGTGCCATGGACTTCGAGCGCAGGATAACCCCACCGTGACGTTTGTCATCGTTGAGTGCATCCCGTCCAATTGCGGCAAGCGGCTGCGCCAACCAATCCACCAAGTACGGCTGCCCATCAGGGAATCCTCAGCGAAGCAAAGGTGTCTCTCTCCTGAACCAACGAGACGCCTTTCCTGTTTTTCAAGTGGCTGCACCAGCAACCGACTCCTGGCTTTTGTGGCACTGACGACTCAGATTGATTCATGCTGTCGGAGCGGCCCATATTGGGGCGCCCTGTCTCTGCATTGGTGCCACCTGCGTTGCAGCACTAGCTTCTTTCATCTTGGGCAGATCAGGACAGATTGCAAAGACTTTGCTGTCACTGTGGCTTCATCATCGCTCATGACCACAAAACAAGTTATTGTATGTTGCTGTGAAGATGCGCTCAACTACCAGGTGCATGAAGAGGTGGGAAAAACAATACCCAGTCAGCCTGTGGGCTTCACTTTGGCCGAACTTCCGATGACGAGCGCAGCGCAGCCTCACAGGCACGTGCAGGCTACTGCTTCACACCATGTCCGAAGCGCAAGTGCCTGAAACCAACGCTCAGACGATTGGCCTGCAAGCGCGGCCCGCGAGTGCACGGCCGGCGTTCCCTTGCGGTTCCTGGGCAGCCTCCACTGCTGAGCACTGTCGATCGTTGCCGCTGTACATCGTTGTACTCTGCTGCAAACCGATGTCCACCACCACCTAAAGCTGCAGTCCAAGTTCGTGATTCGTTTCCAACCTGGATTGAGCTTTGGCGGTCACCCTGAAGTTTGCGTGCCAGAAGTCGTCTTTGTCAATTCAACATTCCACCCCACTCTCACCGGCTGCGCACTGCTCGAAGCTGCGCAGGACTTGCGGCGACAGCTCAAGCGTTTCGTGTAAACATCAGAATTTCAGGATTCTCTATTAAATTTGAATTGATGCCAGGACACTTTGCGATGTGCCGAGCACTGGCATTGCATTGCTTAGCAACTGCAAGTCGAGCTTCCCCGCAGATTGCACGAAAACGAGCAGGCAAGCCGAACCGACGGCCAACACTGACTCTCCAGATCAGCTTGAACAAAGACAGACGCCTCTGCCAGGTCCACGACAACCACCTCGACAAGTTGCAAGAGAGGCTTTGGGAGTTTGATTAGGTGCGCAATGCTGCAAGCACTTGTCAAAACGGGGTTCAACTTGTGTGGTTTCCTGGCAACCCCGGAGCACAGGCCTTTTGCTGATTTTGCGGCAGTTCAGTGACACGAGCATGCAGCAGGAACAAGATTGGGCAGCCTGAGGCGATCTCCGTCAGACTGACACACAGACTGGGACTCACTCGCGCGGACAGACACAGACACACACACACACACATTGGACCTACAACAGAGAGGCAAACGGGCAGAGACAGAGACCAGCACCAGCGCCAGACCAGCACGACCAACACCACAACCAAGTAACCGAGTAACCAACCGATCAACTAACCAATCGACCAAGCGGCCAACCAAGGAAGCAAGCAAGCAAGCAACCAATAACAACGAACCAAGGAACGAACCGACCAACGAACCGAAAAACCAACCAAACTGACTGATCTCCCTTCAGTAGCTTTCCTATGTGCTTCTCGCCTGCTCGGGCGCGGCGCCTGTGGCTTCCAAGAGCGCCTCCGACGATAGTATAGGAGGGGTTTGGAAGTTGTTGCGGCACTCTTGACATCCTCGAGCGGGGCAGGCTGGCGCGCCTCTTTCGAGCGCTCCGTCCGTGCGATGCCAATGGGGCTGAACAGCTCAGGCCTCTGCAGAACCCGAAGACAGGCAGCCAGCAAATTTTAATTACCGAAAGGCAGCGACCTGGCCGCCTGGCCTTCGCAGCATCTTGCGGAAGACGTGACCCCCGGTTTGCCCTCCTGCGGGAAGAGGCATCTTTCACAATTGTGCTGAGATCTCTCCTTGCAATGCCAGACCCGTGCCAGTCACCGCCACCTTCATGGGCTCCGCTCGAGCACCTCTGACGCTTCGTGGGACTGTCGTGTACGGGCGGGTTGAATGCGAAGTGTGGGGCTGTGGGGACAAAGGTCACCCTGCCTAAGCAAAGTGCGAGGGTGGCTGCCAGCCAGATGCGCGGTTGGCGCATGGCGTCCCCAACGTAAAAAGGTGCGACTCAATGGGCGGATGCAAAGTGCACTCATCATAACAATAACCCATACATAGTGGAGATCATACCCATAACACCTCTTATATCTTTAGAGTAAACTTTAGAGTGTATTGTTCAACATCTTGTCGCGCATCAGGCTTCTGTTCTAAATCTTGGTAACCGGTGCAGCTTCAGCCAAAGGCTTCGGGATGTGGTTCCCCGTGCTGCCGCACAGTGTCAGCCAAATTCCTCACTGCAAGCTCCAGTTTCCAAGACTGACTTTGCCTCTCCAGCCAATCCAAATTCAAGTCAAGCTTGCCAAACAAAACTCAAATTGGAATCTACCCGCCCTCAGAGAACTGTCCCCACGAAATGCAAACGTCCCGAAAACGCAAATACCTTGGTCCTCTCAGCCAGCTGCAGGTCCATGTCGCGGTCGAAGCGTTCGGCCCTTAGCCACCATGTCTATATTAGACGGGGCTCCCTTTCGTTGGTAAGGTCACAATGCACGAGCATGGTTCAGACAGGCTATTCTCCGGCGCCTCACAAACCTATTCACAGGTGCATCTCATCATGTCGTCTCTTCAATTTGCAAGCTGCCATGGCACATCACACGATGGTTTTACAGATTCTGATCATAGGTATTCAGAGTAATCGGTAACGCATAGTTGTTGATGCTTCAGGCAGTCTCTGGCACGTCCTGCAACACTGTAATTTCTGCACAGCTAAGGAGATACGAAACTAGCAGAGCTTCATCGCGCCGGGTAAGCTTGAATGACGAAAGCCCTGGCGCATGGGGCGGAACCCTCTTTACCGAAACCTGGAAGTGCCACAGTTTGCCGCTAATGTATTGTAGAAATAAAACAGCTTTACCATGCTTCACCACTTTGAGGTAGCAGCGTTACAGATGGCTCTGCGCCATGGCTCTCTTCTGCGCTGTCCTGTGCAAAACGCTCCGATGCCACTAAGGCCTCGTAACACAGGGCTAATACACCTTGCAGGTCAATTTCACGACGCGAGTTCTGGCGTTCGTCCTCTCCGCTGTCGTGCCCAGAGGCAGCGGCAGTGGTTGCCTTCGAAAAGGCAATTGTCTGGAGACCGGAGACTTGTTGAATGAACTGTTGTGCGTCCTTCGAATCACAGTCGTTTGGCAAATGCCGAACTTCAGTGTTGTATCATTGCCACTTGTACCTCGGATCACCATCACCTGATACTGCCGCCTCTACTCATTACCGCCATATGGAGATACTAGAGATGATGGTGCGAAAGAGGCCTGAGCAGCGGGTGGTTGCTCTGTGGCATAGCCGCTTTGTGCAGGCTTTGGCACCTCCAGGCTGAACGGAAGAACAGATACAAAATGATTGCGCTACAGCATGATGCAAAAGACTGCAACAAATCGCCATGACTAACAGCCATCTGAACAAGTATGTATACCTGTACATATTCGCCGAGGCCGGAGGCCGGGGCGTCTAGATCCGATCCTTGCAATGCAATTACGGTGTACCCACCCCCTTTTTCCCCTGCCACTGTCTCGCCGGCTTCGGACTTTTTGAAGCAATTTTGGGGGAAGGGAGGAGCATGATTTTGAAGGGTTCCTCCCCACCCCCCCCTGCCCGCGCCCCCCTCCCCCTCCCGCACCTGGCCCTGCCCTGCCAGCCCGTTCCCTTGGTTGTGGGTTCGCGACATAGTCTTCCACAAGCGCAGTGCGCGCCCGTTCCGTCTTGCACTGATAAATTATGTTCAGCAGTTCTGCAATGATCATGGCTGAAAATGATCCAAAGCTGCACTGGGCGATGGCATAGGAGGGGATGGTGACTGAGATACAGGTCTTTGGAGGTTAGATGCAGGTCTTTGGGGGGGCGCAATCCTTTCGGCCGTGCAAGCGGCCTAGTGCAGCGAGGCATTATGCGCGGGAGCAGGCAGTGCAGTCTACAGCATTCCATGCAGACGCACACAACTCCCACAAGCTGGAACACTCGTAGATCCCTAAACCCCTAAACCCTAAACCCCTTTTCGGAACCTTCAACAAGGAAGCCCCTGAGCTTGAAGGGAACCCCGCCCTTGGTATCGTAGATAGTAGCCGGACCCATGGCTTCAAAGTTTCAAGAGTCTACGGTCTACAGTGCCGGCCGACGTTGCTTCAACAATCAGGTAGCCGGGCTGCTTCTATATTGCGACAGTTAAGGAAAACTAGACATCTTGTGGTAGCAGCTGCCCTGGTCTTTAAGCTGAGCTACAAAGTCGAGACCCGCTGCTCGTCTTTTCCCACGCAGCGGCAGCCTGGGATGCCTTCTTGCTACACCACCTCTGCGCGCTTCCACCCCGGTCCGAGTCCGCACTTCCGCAGGCGCTCACCGCACGACGAAAGCTCGACCACCTGATCTTCCACACAGATCTTTCCGATTTTCCCGTGCCATACTATGTTGCCGTCCTATCACATGAAATGAGGCTACGATCTTCTTTCCATACGACATCGCTGCTTTTAAAGCCTGGCCTTGGAGGCCTCGAGGCTATCCCGGATCGTAGGGAGATCGGTGCCTAGGCTCAGGGCTCAGGCTTGCCAAGTCCGGCAGTCGCAAAAACACGCCAAAAGAGGCACATACACAAGACTGTAACGCAACTTTATGACATGTACAATGTACAATTGTACTGTACATGGCCGAATCTGTTCATTGATGCTGTACTGGTGATATCTGCTGATACAGGGGTCTCATCTGTCCCAAAAACCTCTTGGATGCTATATTTCTTCTTTGGGATCATGCCGACTACCCACATGTTGCTGCTGGCGACTTTGCGGCCCTGGCTGCACAGCTGCTTGAGCAACGAGAAGTCTGCGATACTGTCCATGGTCACAAAACCATCGCCATCCGCCAGAGACTGAAGGTGAGTGTCCTGCGAACCCCACTCAGTTGCGAACCGCTTGCGCTGTCGGGTGCTAAATACGAGCTCGAAGCGACTCAGAGGCCTCGCACGAATCCGTGCTACACCAGGGCTGTGCTTCTAGCTTGGCTGGTTTGCACGACGGCTCGGAAAATGACATGCTGTTGCCAAAGATTCTGGCAACCCTTGGACCCCAACACTTCCTATCACATGACCTGATGCCGAAAATCGCATCTCTGGCTCCTTTGGCCAGTTCGTGTCGCCGAAGTAATGCTCGACCTCTCTGCCCGTTTTTGGCGTTTTTGCATACTGCTCGGCTAAGGATAGCAAAGAATGCAGAGAGGATGGAGTGGGATCTTGCTGTAAAAGCTGTACTGCTGTACATGTGTCTTCACTGCTGCGAGGAGCCGCAGCACTAGTACAGCAGTAGCGGCGGTAGTAGCAGTCGTCGTCGGAGTCGCAGTAGCAGAAAAGCAGTAGAAGCACAAGCAGCAGCTGGGGCAGGAGCAGGAGCAGTGGTACTGCTACTGCTACTGCTACTGCTACTGCTACTGCTGCTACTGCTGCTACTGCTGCTACTGCTACTACTACTACTACTACGACGACGACGACTACTAACTACTGCTAGTACTAGTACTAACACTAGTACTGCTACTGCTACAGCGCATAGTAGCAGTCGTCGTCGGAGTCGCAGTAGCAGAAAAGCAGTAGAAGCACAAGCAGCAGCTGGGGCAGGAGCAGGAGCAGTGGCAGCGGTAGCAGTAGCAGTACTAGTGTTAGT